TGAAAGTTCTTGACCTTATCAGAAACTCCTGGAGAAGTGGAGATACACAATTCGCAGACTTTTGATTGCTTCTCTCCTGCTTTTCCACCTTGGAGACAATAAATCCTTCTTGCATCTGAGCATTTGTTATTGAAAAGATCAACCTTGTCCCTCACTCCAGCAGCAGTATTTCATTTCTGCAAGTAATGTCATTCATTGGAGTAACCTTACACAACAGTGAAGCAACAAACTGACTTCTCTTTGTCCTACCACTCTTGCTATGGTTAAACCTTTTAGCCACATCAGAAGAAGATTTGGAGGAGGAGAGGGAGAGAAAAGGAAAAACAGTTATTCCCTAATGTCTCATGAATATGCAAGGCAGTCCTTGATAGAAGTGTTATTTTTAGAAATTAAATTGTTGAGAAAGCAGAATAATTTGACATGCATAAAAGTTCTCTTCTCATCTGAAGGTCCCTTCTTATAATAAACAGAATTCACATATAGGCGTGAGCTTTGGCAAAAGGAAGCTTAGAATCTCATAGAATTAAAGCTCCTATAAAACCCCCCTACTCTCATACACCCTTTCTGTCTCTGATCTGATCTTTTGGAAACAACAGCAAGAAATAATGGCAAAAAAAGCAGTTAGTCGTTGATAATGCTAAAAATTAGTCACAGTTGGGTTATATAGGAACTTTAGGTGACTTAGCAATTAGGCAAGCTTGCAATAAAATCAAATCATGCCCAAATGATGTTTTTTTTACAGACAATCAAATTAGTTCTGTCCCGGAAGTCATTGTGATGAAATCAAACAAACAGAAAGAAGATGGCAGCACTGGGAAAGCAGCTTGTTTGGCAAGGAATTTCAATACAAAGGAAATCGACTTAGAGATGTCCCCTAATGACATTGTATACGAACAGAGTACACCCATTTTGACATCAGAGGGGTACGATACTCTTAAGGTGGTCAATGTGAGCAAAGACACAGAGGTGACCTGCATGGCCAGCTTCAAGGGCAGGAATATTACAGCCAATGCCACGTTGCCAGGTACAATTTTGTGGTACAGCTGCAACTTATTTCTGGGGGCAGTATCTTACAGTGCTTGCTATTTCTCCTGCTAATAAGCATTGCTCTGGGTAACCAGCAGAAGCAGGACTGACATCTGGTACTTAAGCAGGTGGAACTGAAAGATATTTAAAAGCATTTAAAATAAATGGTCTTAACTGCTTAACAACTTGGAGTTACTTTATTTGGGGAAAACAAAGACACAAACTTTTTTCTAAAAACATACCTTTTCTTATGACTAAACAATTTACCACATAGCAGCAAACCTCCTAGAGCACAATCTGAAATAACCTTTCTAAAAACAACCAAAAATTAATGTGGTGGTGTGGGTTTTTTTTTTCCTAAACTACTATTTATATTTTGGGGGATTGTTTTTGCCATCATGAAGCTCATTCAGATAGTAAAACTAAAGCAACTCAGGAATTCTTTTGTTTCCTGCAATTGCATGGAGAAATTTTCCCCTCAAATTAAAGTTAGAATTAGTGATGTGTCCTATGAACCTCAGACTGTGCTGCCCACATGTTCCTATGGGAAAGTTCATGTGAACATTTTGGTTAATCCTTTTTAAAATTTGGTTATAGCTTATAATGCCCTTTCTTTATCATGCTGCAGAAAAGGAGGCTGAAGAACCAGTAAGAAAGAAGGTTTGCAACACCACAGGCACCTCTGTACAAGGTTAGTTACCTAAATAGATAAATGCATGGAAATGTGTTTTCTCAGGGGTAGGGGAATCAGAAGACAACATATTCATCTAAGGCAACCTGATTTTTCAAGGTAGCTAGTTTAGTAACAGACAAGCAACAGGATGCAAAATCCCATCTAGGCAGACATCCTTCTCCCCTGTTATTGCCATGTTTCTCTGTCATCTTCTCCTTTGCTGCTGTTTCTTTACCTGAAACTATTACCTGTGGGTTTTTCCACTTTCTGCCAATATCATAATATCAAAATCTAGACCGTGATCTCTCCCATCTTTTCTCTATCACTAAGCTGATACCAAAGTGGAGAAAGTGAACATGCTGTCTATGGCTGTGCTGGGTTTGAGAGTCCTGCTGGCAAAAAGTATCGCCTTCAATACGCTCATGAGTATCAAGTTGTTTCTTTTCTGAGGTAAGGAAGCACATAGCTTGATCTGTAGAAATAGTGGAAACACGTGCCAGGAATGACTGCTTGTCTTTGTGTAGATCTCTAACCCCTCAAGGAATGACACCTATTCATTTGCTCCTCTTTCCATTAAATAACTCTTGTAGGTTTCTGGGGAAAAAAAAAAAAAACAAACAAAAAAACCCCAACACGCATTCCCTCACCCCTCCAAAAAACCCCAATCCAAAAACCCAACCAAATTCCCCTGACACCCCCCCTCTCCCCTGCAAAGCACAAAGAAAACAGCCCCTTTCTGTATCCAAAGATCAGTACTTAGAGTCTGGTCCCCAAATTTTCTTTGCGGCAAACTTATTTTGCCAGAGCAACTCAGGTGTTATGAGAAGTGCCTAAGAGATATCTCATTGGCTATTGGTAGAGCTCATAGCCTGGAGAAAAATCAAGACAAATAAGGAGTAAAAACCAAGGCTTCAAAAACTCAAACATATGAAGTAGCGTGAGGAAAGAGAGGAGGGGGGAGGGTTTTTAAATTAAGGTATCCAAAGAGGCACGGAAGATAGATCAGCCTAAGTTTTGTGAGTCTACCTGTCTTGTTCTGACAGCTATCAAACAGTGGCACATAGGCCCAGTTGCATTAAATGTAGTTTGAACACACTTTGCTCTTCCAGGTGGTGGGGAAGCAAGACAACAGGAATCTGAAGAACAGCAAGAGAGAACATGTACCAGCAACACAATAGGTTGAACAGCCAATGTCAAATCTGCTGACGATAACCATCCAGAATACAACACAGCACCTTCCCTTTAAGACATTTTATAATGCTGAATCCTGCCTAGCTAGTTTATGTAGTAAGAGTTGTAACTGCTTTTGCTATTTCTTTTTCTCTGTGAACTGAGGAGAGTGCATTTTTCCTCACCCACCTGCAAGTAGAAACTGATCTCCCCACTCTTCTAACCTTTGCATAGAAGCATCCAACATGCTTCAATAGTTCTGAAAACTCCAAACCTCACTATAGCTATATGACCCTTTTAAAACACCTTTGACAGGCTGATGTATGAGTACTTAGAGAATTCAGGCACAGCAGATGCTATTTAAAGCTTTAATGTTTTTTAGATAGCTTTAATAACAATAGTTTTCTAGCTTAGATAAGAAGACCTGTGTTGGATCTGAAGTGATTCACTTCACAGATAATGTTCAGCCATAGAAACATTGTTATTTGCATTTCGTTATTAAACCTGTATTTCTTCTGCAAAGTGTATTGCACCTGCATTTTAGGTTATTGTAGTAATGACCAAAATAAAGTTTTACTAAGTCAAAACTCTGTGTTTTGCGCTGTGCTCTTTCTTCTGAACTCAGTATGGAGATTGCTGAAATCCAAGTGTCCTAATGACCAGTGAGATTAGACATACAGCTTTGAGAACCTAGGTTTCCTGTTGGCTGAATTTGTCTTCTCTAGACTTTGTACAGGGAAGTGGACATTCTCTCTGGCACACTAAAAAGCTTCAGCAGGGCCATGAATTCCAGACTTAGAGGATTTGAATGAGGTCTGATCTTTCAGACCACTTTGAAGAGACTCCAGCAACCTGTTTTGGAACATAGCAAAAAGAAACTCATGTCTAAGAAGAAATCCGTTAAGAGACAGCTTGATATGAGCATGAGGAAGCAAAATACATGTATCAGAAGAGAAGAAAACATGCTGGGTTTTTCCACTCATTGATACTAGGAAGATGCCAACAGGAAATAATGTATAGTGGTTTGATGGAGTGATAGTTTCCATAGCAACTTGGTTATTAGTCAAAAAGACCCCGACACACATATTCCCCAGCTCGACTTTCACAAGCAACAAGCAGGATGCTGTGGTCAATATTTATGACTAAGTTACACCATATAAGATTAACTCCTCCTTGCTTTGAAAAACAAGTTAACCACATCCTGAAGGGGAAATAAGGTTTTTCACATACTGACTGAGTTACTGCTGGCTTCAAAACAGCCTCTATAGCATGCATAGCAAGGTCTGTTTAATAAAGTCAGATCCTGCAGACACCTAGAGGAAGACCCTCACCCTATGCAGAAGATAAGTGAAATTGCATGGCAAATCCAAAACCCATAAAATGCTTTTTTAGTGCATTCTACCACCATAATGTAAATCAGGGGAAACTGGTATTTTTATCCTGATTTTCTGCTGACACATTGAAACTTTTTATCTTGCACTCCACACCTTTTCACAATCTCCCAGGCAAGACTGAGGCTGGGAGTACCATTTCTGTGTCACTGTGCAAATCAAGCAATGACATTTTCCTGAGTTGGTTGTGCCTAAGAGCTTTGGCAGAATTAAAATCCTGAAACACTGCACGAGCAAAAAGAGGGATCTGCAGATGCATGACTACGCATTGGCTCATACAGAAATTTATCAGCTAGATAAAGGCATCACTCTCTCTCTATTGTTTCAAACACCCATCCACATTGGCACAGGACAACAGAGCACTCACTTCCATCACAAAGAGATTCATGACCTGAGTGGTACCTCCACCATCAGGTTTTACAGACCTCCCTGTGCACCACTGGGAAACTAGTTGCTGTGGGAACATCTACGCCCACACTAACCCCATAAAATGCCAGTCACCCAAGTCTCTGTCAAAAAAAGAGTAACTGGTGTCTTTGAGAAGATGATTTAAAGTCTTCAGCTCTGTGGATCATGAGAAGGAAGAAATACCCATTCTTCAGTCTCTTACCACCGTCTGTCACACACCCACAGAGCAGAATTAGTCCCCACTGGAGCAGACTAGCTTGGTTGCCAGACCTGTGGCTCCCCTAAGACTTTATTTCAGATCAGAGTATGTGAAATAAGATGGCTGTGTCTCAGCTGGCCAAAATAATATTTCTGAGACATGATACTGAGGACAGTCCAGGCACCCTGACACAGTAGCCAAACTGGGTGGAGCCCATTTTTCTCACTTTATCTGGAGAAAGCTATTTTGTTGGCTGTGTCTGGCCTTCTTCTGGAAGGAAAGGATTAGCTTCCTGTGGCAAGAAGCAGCCTATGCTGGTTTAGACTAACTGGAGATAAGAGAGGAAGAAGAAACAAACGGTATAAATACACATCTGGGGAGAAGAGAGGTATCTGTACCCAGTGAGGAACTTTGGCACCAAGGCAGCCGGTGTCTAGGGAAGGGAGGTTAATGGGAAAGGCAATACCATATTAGTCCACAAGATCCGGCTGGAAGAAACAGCTACATGTGCAGACACGCAACCCCCCTTTCCAGCTTTTAAACTTCTAGACAGATTGTGATGGATTTTTTATTTCAACCTTGTCCTCTGTCAGGAATTCCCTAGGTCTAATTATTTTAGTATGAGTTAGGAAAGAGCCTGTAGCCCCTCTGTCCTATTTTCTGTCATCATGACTTCCTGATTACTTCCCACTAGCAGTGGTTTTTTACTTTACAGTTGCAAATCTATAATTTTGAGCCATTACAGAATGTGCAACTTAAGAAAGGAGGGGTTTATAATTGTTTGCAGAAGAAAACCCATAACAGGGAGCTTTTGTACAGCCCAATAGTAAGATTGTGTTGGTGTGGCTAATTCCAGAGTATAGAGCAGTCTGCAGCTTTCCCAGCTGATATGAACTAAGTGAAAGTTTTTGTAGAGAAATTGTGCTCCACAGTAAAGTATCCTCTGTTAAAATCAGCACCTTGGGATTTAGATTTATCCCTATCTAGGAAAAAACACAATGTCCAGTAAGAGATCCAATAATACCAGAATAATTGAAGATGATGATAAGCAGAACTCTTTAGGACAAAACTTCTTACTAGTGCTATCCATATTGTCCTACAGATTTAGCTGTGTCCATATTCGTGTTCAGATGGCCTTTGAATATCTCCAGGGGTGGAGTCACTATATCTGGAGATATTCAAAGTTATCTGGACATGGTCCTCAGCAAACAGCTCTAGATAGTCCTGCTTGAGCAGGGGACACCAGATGACCTCCAGAGGTCCCTTCCAACCTCAATAATTCTGTGTTTCTGTGGTATCTTTGTCCTACACAGAACGTTTGCCTGGAAATTTCAAAGGTGGCCCAGATTAGCAGTATAATTATTTGGGTAGGAGAAATTAATTACACATTAACCGTGCAGTTTGGTAAGGAAAAAACCATCTTGCCCTGTAGCTGTAGGCAGAGTGGTCAGGAGTGCTAACACAGTCAAATAAAACACATGAAGATAAGTCGGTCACGAGATTGAAGGGAGGCTAAAGGGTTAACAAAAGGACCTTTGTGAAGCCAACTGGAGATCCATCTTAAATTGCTAGCATTGTGTTTTAGATTAACTTACTAATCATATGAAGTAAACTATATATAAGGAACTAACACTGTAGGGAATGTGGAAGAGGGGAGATTAGTAGCAAATGGCACATCTTTGTTACAGGCCTCGGAAGGCCTGTAGGAGAACAAAGTGTCTAGCACTTTTGGGGAGCCAGTTGGTACAGGCTGTGTTGTTCTGACAGTGGAATAAGGGGGGTGGAAGCTGGAGTTCACCAAAAGGACAAGGTGAAGAAGAGGAGTGGATGAAGTAAACGACCCCTGAAGACCACCGACTCAAATCACTGAGCATGCACAGTCGGGAGGGACTTATGGAAATGACCTCTTGAAACTAATTTTAATACGAAGCGGGGACAGGTTATGCCTATATATAGGCGTATTGGGAAACTTCATGTATATGTAACACTGCTACATATAAACAGGACAAGCTGCTGTGTTGCAGTGCGCACGACTTTGGTGGGACTACCCCTGTGCTGCCCAGTGCTGAATAAACATACCTACTTTACAATCTTACAGATTGTGGAGTCTGTTTTCCGCATGTCAAGATACTTAACAAAAGAAGAAAATGCAGTCTGGGACTTGAGAAGACAGTGACAGCAGTAACAGCACAAGGGCTTGAATGCTTTTCTTTGCCATCTCTCATAATGAGAGATAGAGGAGAACTAAACCTCAAACAGTTTCAATATTGCTGGCATGAGGCAGGCTGTAGGGAGTTGAAGCACGCAGCTCATGAGTGAAGTCCATTCTGAGCGAGCCCAGAGGAGATGTTGCAGCCAGCCAGCAGAAACTCAGCTAATGTGGCAATTCAAGCTTACAGAGCCTGAACACAACCTGAATTTTCTTGAAGACAATGTCAGGTGAGCAATGTCTTATTTGATAGACAAATAGGTGGGGTACCTTTGAAGCACAGAAAAATATTCAGGCTTCAAGGTCTCTTGAGATGATTGCAAAAAGCAGTACCACTACTACTACACTGTATTACACCATATCGCCTGTCACTCATCAACCTCATTTTCTCATGGATGTGCATATGGGAAAATAAGATCTGTCCAGTTTAAGGCTAGCGGTTATTCAAAGGTTTAAATGCACATTTTTACATCACTAGTAGTGATTCTGGTTGGACTTTTCATTCCTGTCTGACTGACTACACAGTTTTTGTCTAATGGAGTATTCTTCAAATGTAAGTCTGTCCTCTCATTAAGAAACTGCTCCCAACACTGTTGTTTTCAGAATAAGAACAACCTCCAGAGATCCATTCACCCAAAGCAGAAGCTTTGTCTTAAATGCCTCCAAACATTGTTATCTCTCCACTTAATGTCAGAGACTGGAAACTGCTGATGTGAACATGTCCGTCCATATGCAAGTGTGTATATCCAAGCTGCAGTCTGTGGACTTCTTTCTTTCCTTGATGTTAATGCTCATGGGTCTTCTCAATGATGCATTCATCTCCATTCTGTCTGACCTCGGGTCCTAAGGAGCTATCAAGCAGGTCACACAACAAATGCTCATTTCTCTGTTAAATTTATTTTAACTACTTTGCTTTTCTGTTGAAGAGTTCATTAAAGTGATGATAATGTCTAGATTTCAAATGAAAATCTAAACGACTTTGCTAACTCTTGAAAATCTCTTCACCTGGATGCTGCTTAAAGAGAATGAAATGTTTTAGATATGATGAGCTGTTTTACATTCCTTTCTCAATAACACTTCAAGTACTGTTCAATTTTGTCAACATCAGGAAATTTTAAATTTGTGTTTCTGCTTGGTACAATTTTATGTCTCTTCTCTAATCTATTTTAATTCTTTTTTGCATCGTTTCCTTATTTTAACTTTGTAAGATACATATGGTGTACTTAGCCATTGATAGTTCATAGCTCACATCCTAGGTCAGGGAGGCTTCAGAGCTTTTTGAACTCTATGAAGCATTAAATCCCTATTGCTAACAATGTCTTCT